TGTAGGGAAGATCAGGCCCTGGAGCTGTACTCTCACTCTTTAAGGAGAGTAGAAACATCCTTTAGATTCAGGGTTCTGGCAGACAACTTCTGGCAAGCATGGCTGAGAGAATCACACCATTGCAGCCTGTCCTTCTGTCAGAGGTTGCTACCCCCCCTTACCACCCACTTACCTTGACCACTTGTAGAATGGTTCAATAGCATAAACTTACTGCCACTAGTATTTGATCTGGTAATAGGAAGAGACCATTGCGTTAAACAACCAAATAAACAACTGTCTTCCCCTTGTCAGAGTTCAATGAAAGTACTTTTGATTGGTTTTGCACATTAATAGACATAGAATTAAATAATCTGGGGAATCTGCAGAAAGATATGATTTAAAGGCCATTTCCTTTTTGGCCAAACCAACATTAATCTTAACGTACTAAACCTATTTTCTTTTATCATATAAATAGTGCCTTTTTTAAGGCTACACTGTAACATTTTAGCCTTGAAATAGATGCTCTAGTGCTAATGCTGTAACATTATGGTCTACAGAAATTGCTTATGCTACAACACGGAGATCAAGTCTGCGTAACAAGACAGCTTACGAGCTTAACACTTCTCATACAAAGACTTTTCCTGTTCTCAGTTGCACAGTTGGCATTCCTCTAGAACGTCGGACTCTCTAACCAAACAACAACAACGTCAAGGGAGAGCAAGCGTTAGGTTTAGGACCACTCTACATCCACTAAAACAGGACACAAAGGAATACAAACACATCTCAGCTGAGGGGGGAAATGGTTTCCTGTGTGCAAGGCTCTTCTAGCTATTTAGAACACAAGAAATGGTGTAATCGTTTGTTACCCAGTTAAAATACTGCCTACTCAACCAATTTCTCCCACATTTTTGAGTAATAACTAAGTTACAGCTGAGTTTCTCAGGACACAGTGGGATTATTACAGAATAATTGAAAACTACTACAGAGAATCTTCAAGAATGAAAAAAAACGGGCCAACTCCAAAGGAAACACACCAAGGATCAGAGATACAAAATTGCCGGTCTAGGCACAGAAAATAAGGGATGCAAGCACAGCTTATGAACATAAGAAAGCTGATACACTCAAATTTACTTGAGTATTTTTCACTTCAGTATTCCTCTCGCTTTTCTTCATGTTAAGTCAAGGTGAATCTGGGGATTCTACAACAATTTACAGTGTGATTTTAAAGATACATATAGATATAGTGGCTATAGTGTTCAAATTGCTATATCACCTAGAAAATTAATACTTATTTCAGCCACACAAAATAAAAAGAGAATTTACTTTCTGTGCAAGTTAGAGTGTGGGGAAAAAAGTAGTTTCGTTACTAGACTTAATAAAAAGCCTGAGACTGGTGCAGTTGTAGCAGAAAAATCTTGCAAATCAAAGCTTTTTTTAAAAAACAGAATTAGTAATAACCCATTAAAGTGCTTTTAAGTGGAAAGTCATTGTTTTTTTAATTTACTGAAACTAGATGGTTTAACCAAAGGTCTGAAGTTTTAAAGAACATTCAGTTGTCAAAAGATCAAAGTAGCAAGGCACACTAATGCTTACTAAAACAAAAAACAGAGATTGGTCATATATACGTGTATACTTATATGAACATAAGCAATGCAGCACCATTATCTTCTCTGAAGAAATTCCATTCAAATGGAGAATGGAAGCAATTTATTTTTTGCTGCTTTTGATGGGGACGTGCGTTCCTTTCACATTGAGAGTCTCCAAAGAAGCTCTGGGCTCCCTAGATCCTGCAACTGCAAGTGGTTTCTCTCTGAAACAAACAGCAACAACAACAACAACAACAACAACAACAACAAAAAAAAATCACAATCACCATACAATAAGGGGGTGGGGAATATACTTTTGTTAATTATTTATGTGGAGGTATAGTTATTTTAATTGTACACCAGATCTGACTCCCCCTCCAAAATGACTTCCATTGATACCACCATAGAGTTGGACCATTTCCTCATCTTGCACCGTTTCTTGGCTATGAGGAGTAGAAACAGCTTAGTTTGAAAACTGAAATTGAAGGTAAAGTAGCCTCTGTAATAAGCCTCTAGAACTGAAGAGGTGGGAGAGTGCTCTATGTAGTTTACAGAAGAGGAGTGTTTCCCTTCTGTAGCATTCACTACCAAACATACAACCAATAAAGGTGTCACAACTTCCACTGAAACTACATATTGACGTAGGGAATTGAGGAGGGAACCCCTCACCCCACCGAAGCTTGGTAGACAGCAGCCTATGCAGGGGAGCTCCTGCGTTTACAGATAAAGTCCTCATTCCTACACAGTCTTCCTGACTTTAGGATTGGAAGAGGTCTCATTTGAAATCTAACCCTGAAGAGAGTGGTGTGTTTGTCTCCAACTATATGGAAGGCGTCTTTCCTTTTACCCAAGAGAACAGATCAACCTAGCCCTCAGTAAGGATTATACCTTAATGCAACTAAGCCAGCTTAATGGCTGCGGGAGCAGCTACAACATTTGTACATAGCTGAGCTAAGAGCAGTGGCATATTTCTCTGGAAAAACCACCATTTTAGCCTATCAATTTGTTAAGTAATTTTCAAAGTCAAAACCACTGAATTTCTTCAAAATTTAGTTAACAAAATGCTGCCTTATACTATTTATTATGGCATCACGAGAAAAGGAGGACTAAAACATACTATTTCTCCTCAGATTGCCAGTAAGCATTGTTTGTTCATGAACAGACTGCTTCAGAGTTCAATTTTCCTTCTGCTGGTAGTATTTCCTTATTCTGGTAGGAAACTATTTTTACCTTCTTAATCCATCTTCCTTGGGTATGTGATGGATACTTCTGTATTTTGGAGCTTCTAAATTGCATCTAGTTCTAGATGGCTTGAACTTCATAATCTCTTTCTGCCACTCTTCATCAAAGGTCTGGGCCTCAGCTGAAAAACAGTTAAAAGTTTACTTTTATTTTTAATAAATGCAAGCAAGACAGGAAAAGACTTGTAATGAAAACTAGGTTTTTTGAACAGTGTTTCTGTGGCCCATGACTCTCCACATGGCCTGCAAACTATTCCCAGGGGATCTATAAAAGACAACTAAGAAAAGTTTACTGCCAGTAAGCTGTTTGGAAGATAAAAAATAAAAAAACCCTGAAAGACAGTGTATTGTAAAAGTGTATGCACATTTTAACCATGCATCTCTTAAATACATATTTTCTATTAGCCACAAATAAAACACACAGCAAATAGTAAAATTCTGTTAAAAGTTTGTTTGAAACCATAAAATACCATTAAAAGTACTTTTAAATACGAGCAGCTATGGTACAACCAACCAGTACCAACTGCATGATAACACAACATTTTCAAGTCTAACTGGTTACTTTAACTTAGGTTGTCCAAATTTATATCAACTAAGGCAACTTGATTTGCAGACTTAGCACTTCCTGAAAAACAGTCCCTTTTAAGATGTCTCAAGCTGGAACTTCAAAACTGGTATGTGAAACAACGGTGTAAAGCCCATTAGAGAACTGCATAAAGAGACATACCCTCATCCAGGTTGATGAATTCTTGGTTCATTTCTTCATCACCAGTCTTGCTGTTCTTTGATTTTTTAATTACATGGGCGCGATCATGAATATGATGACCAATAGCCATTTTTTCCACTCCACTTTCAGAATCCTTAAGTGCTTTTCTTGTCTCCTTAACCTGTACAAAGTAATAAAGGGAAATAAGTATCCTTCCAACCAAAAAAAAAGTTAATTTTTTTTTAATCAAATTTTCTTCTCAAAGTTTTTATATTTTACTTTTGAAGAAGTTAGGTTTTATAGGCTTTTCCAATTGTCTTATTTACTCTGTTGGTTGAAAATACACCAACAAAGCACAGATCAAGTCTATTCCTTCTGCCAGCAGACAGGAAGGTTAAACAAGAACATCTAAAGCTTCTTAAGTAACGTACATACTGGATATTAATTGTTGGGGAAAAAAAACCCTAGTCTAAATATACTACATGCAGACAAGTCTTCAACATTCTCCTTCACAACAGAATGAGTAACGATGCCAATATTCTCAGTATGAAGGGGCAAGTAATTACTAGGTTGTCCTGTTGACTGGCTTGAAACCCAGGCAACCACTTATCACTGTGTTCATAGGTATATTATTAGAACCTTTTTGATAACTGAGTGTATGCTTGAGCTTGAACATATCCCACAGCCAATCATGCTCAACGGCCTTTACTGCTCGCATATAGTCTTTCATGAACCTCGCTTCAGGGTTCAAATTCAAATTTCTTAGCAGAATTAGATGCAACAGCTGCAAGGAAGTGAATGAAAGGGCATCTTCATCTGAAGCGTTACGTAAGCATTTAGAAGTGCTTGAGTAAAGGGGATGATTGGAAGCCATGTTTTGCATAAATAGGCTGCCTCTTGCTTATACTTTAGACAGTATTTTAAATGTACCAGAAGAGGATTAATTATACCAAAGAGAAAGACACCAGAGTCTGTCTTGAAGAATCAGCTGTTCTGGCACTCAATTTTTCCAGTCTTCGATAGGCATACAATTTATTTAGATGTATACTTAGAAGCATGCAAATTACAAGGAAGCAAACAGCACTTCAGCTTAAGAAGCCTTTAATATAGAGCGGTATTTAAACAGACATATATTTTTCTAAATTATAAGAGTAACTGTCTCCAGTAAAGAGAACCTGAAGGGAACTGTGGTTTGGTATAGATCAGCTTAAATTCCAACAGTTACATTCCACCTTTTTGCTGCATCTCAGGACTACTTACACCTCCTGGAGCTGTGCGTGTCTGAGCTGAAGCTTGGAAAACTTTTGGTGGTTCATCCCCTATTTTGGAGTATGTCATCACAGAGGAGGAGCTGAATGTGTGTGCATCTGGATGGAAGGACAGGTCATCCTACAAGCAATGTAGACTTCTTATTAATAAAAGTTAAAACTTGTGGACAATAGGTACTTCTTACATTCTGAGACTATCTTATTATGAAAAACATAACCTAAACAATTCTACAATTCTATGACTCTAAAAATAATACCCCTCTGAAAAATTAACCCTCAGTTCCTGGCATCATAGATACGGCCTGTTGGGAAGAGACCTTGGCACTCGATATTCCCTCACTCTTGTCCTAGCCTTGCCTGGCCACAGGTCTCCCCATGCCAGGAAACAGGACAACAAATGAAAAGCATGGGCATCAATAAGCAACTGCTTGAACATTTGCTCTGGCATAGTTTAGTTTAGTAATGAAGACAGAACCTGTAACATCTGTCTTCACACATCAAGTATATAATAAGGTGTGTAAAGAGTTCAGGTGAAATAGGACTTGAGCAACAATGGTTACAAGCCATTTTACAAGGCCAGTAAAACACAGTATATATACTCAGCACCACTTAATAGATATCAGAAGAAAGAAGCAGCACTGAAAATAAAATGAGAGGAGAGTCTATATGCAGGGCGGTATTTAGGTGTTTGCAGTTTTATTGTTTTAAAAGTGTACAGTAACACTTTAAACTGCTCCTTCACTTAAGGTGTCAGGTCTGGCAACAGCCAGAGACCAGATAACTTACAGGAGTTCTAATGCCTAGAGAATCAAGCATACCTTTAAAGTACTGTTGTTCGCAAATAATCAGTGACAGCACAGAGAAATATAACGACGATATAGCGGTTGAAAAAAGAATTCTTACTATCTGCTTGAGACTAGTAAACTTTTTCATGGCAGGACTTTCTGAGTAATGTTTTAAACAACTGTCATTCTCCAATGCAATTAAGTTTAGAACAAGTTTTTAAAAACTTACAAATTTTCGTTGCATTTCCAGCATACTGTTTCTCATATTTGACATCATCCTGTCCATTGCAAAAAAAGGTTCCCCAAAATCTGCATCCTGCTAAAAGAAAAGACATTAAAATTAAAACAAAGTCTTCTGACTCTTCAAGTTCCCAATCTGTTTGGGTTTTTTACATACATTTTTTAATGCAAATCAGACCATCAAAAAGTTTTTCCACAGACTGCAATTCATAGACACAGAAAAGCCAAAATGCATCTTTTCAAATGAAAAATAGAAAGCTAGCATGGGGAGCTTGATTGTTAAGTTGGAGATACTGCAAAGACAGAAGTGAAAGATTTGACACTCAAGTGTCAAAATAAGCTACTATTGTGGCCACTTTACAAGAACTATTTTCATATACCTTCTAACCTAACTAGCTTCTGCTGTAGTAAGTACATATAACCCCCCATGCCTTATAGTCTATTGAAGATCAAGTTATCTCTATTATGCAAATCCCTTCATGCACATGGAAACACACTGAAAATGCATCCCAGCAGACATAGCTGTTCCTTTGCAGGAGTAACGTGCATTGCTCATAGAAGGGCAGCGTGGAAGAATCAGAGAACCGTAACTTGGTATTTTAATGGCAGCTTAATTGATGCTGTAGGTGCATGCAACAAAACATTCATTCGTTATTTTTACATGAAAGCAGAAGATCCAGTGTTGCACAAAGCACAGATACTAAGACAGGTTTACATGCACAGAATTTCATTAATAAGATCTGTAGCTGATGGCATATACTGACCATACTGATGAAAGCTAAGCTCCCTTTGGAAGAAAACAAAACGAGAGACAGGGAGACAAAGTAGGGAAATGGTGAACTCTCCTAAGCAACCATCTGGGAAGACTGCAATGCTATCCCAAATGAACATCCTCCTCTGGGCTCCTCTCCAGTGCAGCAGCTGGTGATGATAAAGACAGTTTTTGCCATGCCTTTGCTCTCCTATTATGAACTTTTTTTTTTTCCTCAGGACCCACTCAAACTCCCTACTCAGCTGCCTGGTTTCTGACATGAGCAGCTCTGGTTGGAGTATGCCAGTTAAGAGTATACACCACACACTGGTTGGTTGGTGAGCTTCTAGACACACGCATGCCAAGCTGCTTCCCAGGACAGCCACTGTGCCACCACCACGCTCTGGTCCACAGGGGTGAGGCTGCAAGAAGGGCAGGGAAAAGGGCTCCCAGGGGCTCTGCAAAACCCAGCAGCTGTGGCAAGAGGCAGGCTGCCAGGCTGCACACAGAGGCCCTTTGCACTATTAAGGTGCCACGACACACCAATTTACAATAGCAAACACCCCACATTCTTCCTACTGCTGGAAATATAGAGTTTAAATTTAAATAAATTCATTTAAATAGCTATGTATTTAAAAGTTTAAAAATAAAATCTGCAGTTCAAGCACAAAACCAAGTGGAATTCAGGTATAGAAAATCTTCATTTTGTTTTTTGAGTAGCAAGAAATCTGAATCCTTAAGGGCTATCAAAACCTCTGGGCAATAATTATAGACAATTTAGGGCATCAAATCATTGCAAGTGTCAGTAACTCCAGAAAACTGCCTTCTACAGTTAGAAATCTGGACACTGACCAACGACATTACTATGTAACCAGCTATACCCATGGAATTACATGCCACAGATTGGTGTGGGGGGAGTAAAACCACAGCCTGTGCAGTTAATAGCAAAAGAACTTTGCTTAGCTAATACCCTTTTTGCATACAGAAAGTTGCCAATTTGTGCTTCTGCAAAAGATAACTAAACAAGTAGTACTTTTAGATCTGAAAATTAAGACCCACACCCATTTTTACCTGCTCTATAAGTGAGATCCACTCTCTAAGCTACTGGGTTTCAATCTGAGGACTCTTTAAAGCTTCCCAAAGGAAGCAAAACCCGTGGTGAGGGTCATAACAATAAAATTGCTTTTCCTCAGGTACTTTTTACAGATCTTTTACAAGATATTCCAGATCCCCAACAAACTACAGCTGAAAAACATTCCAAGCCCAGCTGCAGTGCAAATTCTGTCTCCAGAAGCTGGCCTGTCTTAGCTGTGACCAGTGCTACAGGTCTTGTTGGTATCACACCCACAAACAGACGCCAAGCCACTAGCGTCCGTCTATAGGCAGCACTCAAAGTTTGGAGTCTCTCTCCAGGGATTATTTCATTTATATCCATCAGAAATCAAGCCCAAACAGATACATCACCAAGTAGAAAACCAGCTGCTAAGTAGTAACTTTTGCAATCTTGATACCAGAATATTTAGTCTACCCCACGTTTTCATTTAATAAGGAAAAATAATTTAAAAAATTTCTTTAATTATATTGCTCTATATATCTGAACACCAACAGAAGCAGTTTGCAAGCACACTGAAACTAGCCTTTGTCCATGCTTTAGTCATGCAGACAATATGCACGTATGAACAGGAGCTACAAGGATTATTGCTCCCGGGATACTAACCACTCTACCAAAGCCTGCAAAGGGCATGAGGGAGCAGGTTGTTGCCTGGAAGAAAAAGGACCAGTGTCTTTTAGTTACTGTACCTGTTCCCAGACACAGCAGAAGTATCTAGTGCACTTTCATATGCAGCAGGTGATATTAAACATTTCTGATCAAATAAAAACAGTCACTCGAGGACCTTGGTAATTTATAGTGTGCTATGACAGTATAATACGCAGTAGTCTCTAGGTATATAGAAGTAATATATTTACACTAATGATGTTGGAAAGCGATAGCTGTCACCACATTTAATAAGTCATATTTGTATCTATGTATTAGTAAGTCATATTTGTATCTATGTACTAGAAGCACTTAAAGCTACAAGTTGAGAAACATTTGTATACCATAGCAACCTTTGTACTAAAATTATTTAAAACATGGCACAGTGCTTCAAACATCACCCACTTCTCTGAAAACACTTCATTCTAGTCATGCAATAGAACTCCATCTCTGAAAATTGATTAAAATCAACAAATCAATAGTGCCTTTAATGTAAGCTTATGTAATTAAATTTCAGAAGGTTGGCATAAAACTTCAGAGCTTAAAGAATTAAGTGATGCAGCTGACCTGTTCACAAGCACTCTATGTATTACAAGAGATTAATGCAAATATAAAGATATTTCCTTAAAATATCCATACATTCCTTGCAATAAACAAAATTAAGTCTAACTTGTCAGCAGTTTCAAAGGTCACTGCAAAGAAGTTCTAGGTAAATCTATCATCATATACAGAACCACCCGAAGACAAATCGGGTGCAAATTATATTCTTCTGCAGGTGTATAAATAGATGTAGCTATAAACACCAGCAAATACAGTTCCTGTTTGACCAACTGATATTGAATATCCCTATATGACAGGGCAATGAGGTGCTGGAAAACAAATTGATGTTTCCAGGAAACTAAGACTGGAAAGTTATATAAAAGCTTACCTAAAGAAAGACTGGTTAGACAGAAGTGCCTAATGCTTTGCAATAACTTTAAGTACAAAAGGAAGGAATTATCCAATTCTTGAACATCTTTATGAGCTCTTTTAGATTGCAGTTCTGTCTAATATGTAGTGACAGAAAAGAGTATTTTTTTATATATAAAGTGCAAAAGGATATCCTCAGAAAGTTGTTAGTCATAAAAAGTTTAAACTTTGTTTTATAATACATACTAAAAGCTGTTAAGTAGTTACCTAATATATAGGACAATCAGATATCCAAACAAAACCAAATGATATCTCTTAAGGTATTCTACCCCATTCCTCCTGCTCATATCCTTTCCTCCTCCTTCCCTCCCTCCCTCCAAGAGGCTAAAAACTGACACTGCAAACCTGCTTGAGAAAGGAAAAGCATTTTCAAATTTGAATGCTATATGAATGCACACTGAGTTGTTGCAACAAACCCTGGCCCTTGTAACACAGTTTTAGGCATGCTCTAGTTTACTTAAACATAGAATTATGATATCAGTAGTCAGCATGGGTAATTTTTACTACCATGTAAAATATGCTTTGTTAAGATATCCATGTTTTCCAACATAAAAATAAAATAAATAATAAAATAATTTTAAGTGTTAGAATAATTTCTGGATGGAAACCAGTAAAAGCAGTTTGGGACTACTACAAGGCTCAAATAATCAGTACTGGGTCTTCTGTGACATGTGACAGCTCTTAGGCAAAACATAAGGAACATTAAAAGATACTAGGAAAGATTTCAGCAGGTGTGGAATTCTTTTGGGCTTATCAAAAATAATACAGCACTCTTGCGCCTTTAAATCCTTTCTGTAACCACCAATAAAGGTTTTCTATGCCTCACATTTATCCCTCACTGCCAAGAACAAGGGATACAAACCCCCAAGATATTAGGGTAAGGTTTGACATATTCTTTTTCTAAAGGAGAAAGAAGTCTGATCTGGTTTTAGGCATCTGGTGAACCAAAGCCTGAGAATCTGCTTCAGTAGAGGAAAGATCATGCCCTAATTAGATCCAGCAACATCTATATTTGAAACCAAAGTGGCAACGTATGAGCACAGAGGAAAGAATCTGACAGTTACCCTTTTGACTTGTAGGTGACAGTCTGCATTTCAGCTATGTTTATCAAGCTCTAACTATCTAGGTTTGAACAACCACCACCCAATCTGGCTGCGTTCCACAAGGCCTTGTATTCTGTTTTGTCTTCCAACTGTTGGGGGTTTTTTTTGTTTTGTTTTTAAATCAAATGTGATTCATTAAAGTAAGAGATCGTTCAGCTGTAAAAAAAATATTTAGCCTGGTGGAGGGAAAGGAGCCAACTTCAAACGTATATCCTTTCTAAGTACAGCAATTAGATAAGGTTTAACTACAGAAGCATAAGATATAATTGTCCTGCATGCCCAGACTGTTGAAAAGATACTTTATGTAAAAAAAAAGAGATCATTGCCAACTTCTCAGTTTCAGATGGTAATTTACAGAAATAGTAGGGTTTGTATCAATTTCCCTGATCTTTAATTCTTACAGTCTTATGTCTAGAGGAAACATTAAGAATCAGCCCAAATACAGAACATGAAGCCTTTGTTCACAGTTGCAAAGTTGAAGCAGGGTTTAAAATATCTGTGTAGATGCTACTTGGGTGGCTGAAACACGTTTGGCTTAAATCAAACTTCAACATAAATAACTAGACACAAGATACTAAAGTGAAGAGTGAAGGCATAAACATATCAAGGTGCTTTTTTAAGTCAAGTTAGCATAAAAAAAGGAACTAAGTGTTCAAAGGCAGCTCTGCCTTTGGATATTTTTAATGCCTTTCTGCAATAGAAACATTTAATACGTAACATTTATTAAGCCAAACATCTGATAAATATGTTTAGTTTGTTTCATTAAATATCGTACATTCAATGTTCAATAACATACAAACTTGTTGTTAGTCCTAACAGAAACAAGTTTGTCAGTGTTAAGTAGTAAATGCTTCAATGATAGGCCATTAAGGAACCAAGAGAGAGATTATTCACATCTTACTCAGCAATGAAACAATCTGACCAAGGCTGAGCTGGGCCTCTATTTCTACTGGACCAAATTTAACAGAAATGGAAATGTGAAGCTGACCATATTACCAGTAAATGTGAATTCCATGTAGCGATCCTTAGAGATTAAGAAAATACTTACTCTGCGATTTCCTCTTAGAGCAACCCGAGAGTCCTGGTGTGCTCTTCGATCCACTGTTCTCTCCCCACCATCTGTTATACTGAGAAATGGATCTCGTCCAAAAGGATCAGAAAAGCCCCTCATCATCCGCCGCATATATTCATGGTGTGCAGCAAAAGGATCTCTGAAAAAGAGGTTTTTCACATAGAAAGTCATCAGGTTTTATTCCAAGCTATGTAGAATGGCTCTGGCATTTTTAAAACTCAATTTTTTAAATCGTTCCATACGGTTATTTATTCAAATTCTTTATTTTAATAGCACCCAACTGGGCAATCTCCTGTTCCTCACAAACTCTCACTTCTTTCACTTTTCTTCCCATCTCACGGGTTGGTTGGGTGTTTTAGTTTTTTTGTCTTCTCAGCTGCCTTCATTGCTCTCCTATGCTCTTGGGTGTCTTCATTGCTTTTTCTCTTTCCTCACCTTTTCTAAAAATATTCCATCCTTTGCAGCAGTCTTTCACTCTAGCCTATGTTTACTATCTGCCAGGAACTATAAAATTGACCTATATTTTATTTATCACTAGTTCTACCTCCAACCCCTGATATTAAAAGAATTTTTTTTTCCCCTCTCCTTTTTTCACTTTCATCTTCCAAAGATTAGCACAGGACTACTCACTGAACTCATCGTGTCCCACTAGATTTCCACCCCTCAAATTGATTTTGCTGGCCGCTCCAATTCTACTTTTCATCCTCCTTGACCCACATGCTCAAAAATGTATACCATCCTCTAAATTCAAACCAGCTCCATCTCCTTTACTTTAGTCACCCGCTACTGCATCTTTGCTTTCCCTTTCCTCCGCTTCCACAAATTGTGTTCTTGCATCCCTTTCCTCTGCTTAGGAAGAAAGATTCTTACTGGCTCTTTGCTTTCCTGATAAGTTTTCCCCTTCTTCTCTCCCCTTTCTAAACACTCAACCTCTGTTTCCAAAAATCTACAGAACCCCACCAGTATTTCCAAAGCTTTGCTTGCAGGTAAGACATTGCTAAAGTTGCTTCCCATTATTACTTAGTTCTTTGTATTCTCTGATTTGGCCAAGAACTAAAGATTTCAAACTGAGGTCAAAAGAGGAGCAAAATGTATTGTGCTTCTGACCAAATCATCAGTACTGTTGCCTGTGGTCCAAGGCTACAAATTATTACTTCACACAAAAAGCATGCTACATTTCCTCCCTTCATCTCCAGCCTGATTTTCCCCTTTGCTATTCTGCTGAAAGCCACTTCATTAACAGTCATTTCCCAGGTATGTTTACTTAGGCTTAATAGCACCTCATCATCCTTCCTATCAATTTCCTGGCACTCCCCAGACACCTCACACTCTCATCCTCTCCAGGACACCGCAACCTTTCCCATCACATCTCATGCTTCCATGAAGAAAAGCTTCAGGGTGTTCCTCTGACTTCTTCCATACCCAATCATCTCTTCAAAGTCTCCTGAACAGCTTTTCTATTCTCCCCACCCCTTATCTCCAGCCCCATGAAAACCAGTTTCCACATCACATGGCCGCTTTGATCTCTTTGTTTTGTGCTTCCTCTTCTTCTGCTAAAGTTGCATTTATTTTTTCCTTTTTTAAGTGAAAAAGACATAAGGTTACAAACATAACACTGGATTAGTTTTCAAATCAGATTTCTTTAACACAACAATATCCCTTTAAGCTATGCACATACTTAACTCACTCCAGTGTAAACAGACCTGTACAGTTTAGAAGTAATTTTACCGTTGTCATTAAGCAGACCCTAATCTACCCCACTCACATGACTGCTAGCTTTAACTTCAGTCCTAACGCGATAAGCAGCTCGCACACAGCAAGTGTCCCCTCACTTTTCACAGGATGAAGAACAGATGGAAAAAGTCACTGCACCAGCCAAGACGAGGGAAGCACACAAGCGCTACCACAGTACTCGCATACTTCCATCAAATCTCTTTTGACACCACAAACTTCAGATAGGTTTGGTTATCAAAACACAAATAAATGTGAACTGTATTCCATCAGTAACTTACGCGTAACAAAGTTTCTTCCCAGTCCTTTCCAGTTTAAAAGAAGTAGGACACTCATAAAAAAAACCCATAAAAAGTTATCTACAACACATCATAAGCAAAACAAGATTCCATTGATTTAATGGAGGTAAGAAAAATTGGTTGTACTTAGCATGCTTAACATGCTGTCACCTGACATAAAATAATACTTCATACCTTGTAAAATTGTCAGTATTGCCTTATTTCACCTTATCTGGCAACTTCTCTTGGCCATTCACCCTCCACTACATCTACCTGACACATTCTTGTCTGCATCTGAGCCTGTGAGGTTTTGTTGTTATTTTTTAAAATAAAATGAAAGGTCTGTGGAACAATCTAGAAATACAGCTTCTTACTTTCAGAGACAGGGAAGTAAGATGCATGCTGTGGAGTGGCAGATTTAGGAACAAAAGTGAAGTCTCCCAATTCCCTAGGGACATTTTAGGGAGCCATGCATAAAAAGATCTAGTGTTGTCAAGCCTCCAAAGAAATAACACAGTTTCAGTATGCTCTGGAGTAGGGCAAAAATCAATGGAAAGTCAGCAGAGAATCTGTCTGGAAGACAAGGCTTCCAAGGAATTAAACCTACCACCTTGATGGCTCTGATGACTGAAACTCAAACTGTAACTACATAAGGAGTATGTCACCCTCACAAAATATGCAAGTGTGTATATATATATATATATATATGTAAAAAAGTCAAAGTCTCTCCAGTAGAGGATGCAAGATCATAAGTTCTTTGTTCAAATCACAGATTTTATAGGATGCCAACAGGTGGAGAGCACCCTTAGTTTAATTACCATTGATCACATCTGACTTAAAATCTGACCTTTGGGGGTGGGGGTGTTACAGTAAAAGTATAATGTTACTTCTCACTTCAGTGTGTGTTTCTGGTCAGTTGAAAAATCAGTGTCCTAGAACAATAAATATTTTTTAAAACCGTACTTCATATTAGATGCACTTTTTTTTTTTTAAATTAGGAAGTTATGTAAGCCTGACATTGCAAAATCACACTGGAGAGAGCACCTGGAACAATAAAACAAAAGCTGTGCATTGGTAAATTAAAAACCAACTGCACTTGGCAGAGGAGAGGCAGCTTCTGCACCTGTCCAAGCTATTACAGATGAATCTCAGCTGGGCCAGGGCAGTATTTTGGCTGACAGACTGGTGCTTCCCCAGGACAGCTGCTCACAGATGGAGACATTTCTTTTAACCCAGGCACTATTTCCAGTTCAGCAGTCAAAATCTCTCCTTGTGAGGCAACAGAAGCCTATTATTACACTATTTTGGAAGCTAATCTTATCTGAAGTAATAAGATCATTTCCTTAACTATGTGCAAACAGATTTACAGGGACAGTGCCAAGAAAATGAATCTCAATATCAATCTCTCTCATCTCTTTCACACACACTCCCTTCCTCTATCTTCTGCATTTTTTTTTTCCTCCAGTTCTAAACTGCACCAGTGGCTACAATAAAAATGCATAAATAAAATGAATGAGTAAGAGGAGAGCAATTGATATTTCAAAAGCATGCTATAAACTACTACAAACAAGACTTAACTTTCATTATTATTTTAATTTCAAGCTGAGGATTTGCATAGTGAAGTTTTCTGCACTGTGTATCCTGCATACACCCGGTGAGTTGTTACGAGAGCACGCATATTCCTAGAAACCAAGTGTAGTAATCCATCTTGCACAGCTTTAGAAACTGTCCCACCGCTAGGAATGGGCTCTTGCGGCTAAGCAGTAGATTCTCCTTTAAGAGATGCAAACTCAGCCTCAGCTAGAATATCCTGTAACTAAGATACAGTCAACAAACCCACATCACAAGGCCCGATGGATCGCCCTTCCTCGTCCGCCCACCGGCATTACCCCTTACCTTGGCTTGTAATTAAACTCCACATAGTAAGTATCACATCTTGAGAAAAACTAAAACCATTCAGGCTCCTCTGAGTTCTCCCGTCTCGTTCTTACCTACTACAGGTTACAGTTTCTGACAAAAGACCTGAGTGGGGACCAGACTAGATACGGCTGCGGTTTCGGCTATCCCAGCGCTCATGGGAAGCACCTGCACGACACACGACTTCCATTTAGGTTCCAGTGGCAGACGACGATTCCCACGGGAAGTAAACTGATTTTAGGGTTTAGCACATAGGCGTGCTCTACCCCAAACGCTACCGGCTGTGCTCACGGTATAGAAAACAAAAAAACGCATTTGCTGGGCTAAAGCATCAGCTCCCCCCCGGGCAGTCAGTACGGGGGGAGAGGCGGCTTGCCTCTGCTGATCTCACACGCACGCTTGCAAAGTTTTAATGCAAAAACACCTGGTGTTATCTTTGGTGGATGCATCGACAACGGGAGCCCAGGGACAGCTTACAGCAAAAAAACCTCAAATTAACCCAGAAAACCTCAAGCATCCAGCACCTCTCCCCCTATTAAGAAACGGAGGAAAAAGCGAAATCAAGAAGCTAAAGCCAAGGGAGGTGAAGATTTCTTCTCAGCCGGTGTCGCTACGAAATTACGATTACGCTCCCCGCCGCGCTGTGAGAAGCTACAGGCGTTGCCGGGGAGGGGAGTACGAGACCGGGCTCCGGCACTTACAGCCCCTGGCGACAGCTGAACCCCGCGCGCCCCAGTGCTCCGGGCAGCTAGGGAAGCACGGCCGGGCCCCGCGCCGCCGCCAACCCCGCACAGACACGCGTCCTCCGGCGCCACAAGACCCCCGAAGC